AAGCACAAGAGTTTCTCTCCCTTTTACCTTTAAAACTCTGAGATGTGCCTGGCCGGGTTCTTCTGCGCTCAACAAATGAAAAGGGAGGCCTATATTAGTTAAAAAAATAAAGCTCAGAGAGAAAACTAGTACATATATTAGAATAAAAGAGCTGATAAAGAGTATTCAGCCTCAAAGTTCATGCCAAGCAAAAGCAAGAACCACATGATGTTGACAACAGGTGCTTTCAACCTCAGGTCAAGGGTAGTTGCTGTATGCTCTGTCAATACACTGTTAACCATGATTGATTTGGTCCAGTGACAGATAATCCATTATGCACTCATACTTCAACCCCACTAAATCAAAGATAGTTTGTCTAGCAGAACAAAATGACCCAATATAGGAGAAGGCACAAAGACAAAGCAGTAGTTCTCACCCAACATCCTTCTATGACAGAAGGAAACCAACATATAGCAAAAGGCTTAGCAAAATGCAAATATGTGTCTTTCTGGAGGATGTAGGGGAGGAAAAGGAGAATACTGTAATTAAAAGTATATACTGATGAAAGAGAAGCTGCAGAAGTCCTAGTGAAATGTCAGAAAGAGTTGCAAATAGCCTAAACGTAAAGAACAAAGTAGGGAAAGTAAGCTTGCCCTCAGAGTCAAGCTGTGTGGATATATTTATATAAACCCTTGGGGCAGGGGAACAGAACCAGGCTCACAGTTTGTCATTACCTTCAGTATGAGAGGGGAAAAAATAAATTTGATTCTCTTCAAGTATCAATCAGCAAAGTTTTTTCTATTATTGTGTGGCGTAGACTTGCAGTTTCCACCTTATTCTCCCTCCTGCTCTTTCCTCATTTGATGTGGGTGGGTATCTGCCTATAGACAAGGTGTCTGGAGACAACATCTTCCTACATATATTCCAATGCTGATATCCTAAAGCTAATGCCAGCACAATCCACCAGTCTGTATGTAAATGGAGTGCATTCAACCTCTTTCATTATTCACTCTTAATATCCTGATGTTTGCAGTATCACTAGCCTGTACTAACAATAGACAACACATTTCTGTGGAACAAATGGTCTCTGTTACTCTGTCACCCAGACACCCTTTATTGGTCACAGGGACTGAAAAGAAATGGATTGATCAAATATAAAGAATTAGCAGAGGGTGTAAGTAAACTGAGAAGTAGAAGACAGGTGCCCTGTGTATGTATAGAACTCGAAGCTGAACTTGAAATGCTCTGCTGAGTGTCATCCCTGCTCTACAAACATCCATTTTTATATGGATTATGAAACAGCAGCTTGTTGCCCTGAGTTGGATAAAAGTGTGACAGGTAAAACCCCAAAGGACTGTAAAGACACAGGTATGGTTCCAGAACAGAAGTGTTGTATAGACTCTCCACCCAGTTCTGCCAGTCCAGGACTAGAGGGATGTGCTGCTGCTGGCCAGCTCCTGAGCTGAACTGCCCTTTGCACACCAACCAACACTTTCACAGCTGCACAAAGCCATTTCTGGCTGCACTGAAGCACTTGATTGCTAAGTAGGGGTGTAAAGGGTTATGAAATAAGATCTCCCCCTCAGGCCTTTTCTTTTAGAAGTCTACATGGCATGGGCCAAAACTAATTTTCTCACCTAACCGCATCTAGCGACATGAAAATAGCTCAGCCATATGCAGAAGCTGTGGGATATTTGACAAGGACAAAAAGCCTTGGAGAACAGTGAAATATTCACCTGGAGATAGTGTTCGTGCCCCTCACCATTTAATATGGGACAGAAATAAGTGGGTCACCCAGCAATATTTATAAAAATAAATATTTTACATTCTATTGGGCAAGTAGAGTATATACTTTAAACACAAAGTCATTTTACCAAAGCCAAGTAGCCTGCAGATACTTCGGTTTTCCCTCAGCTTTATTATTTCCTTTAGATTACACAGACACAGTTGGGGTTTTTTTCAATTAAAGTAAGTATACTGCAGCTGTGTGTAATTTTTCTCCTCAAGCTTTGCAAAGTGTTGTCAAAGCAAAGGAGGAAAAAAGCCCACCACAGTAGTGATGGTGACATATTTCACTTCTGTGCAGCCAGTAGAATCATATTTACTTCAGCTTTAAATGCATTGCCAATTTGAAAAATTTAAAACAAGCTTTTTTCCTTCTATTAAAAGAGACCATTTATAAGTAACATTTACAGATTCCTTCCAGGCTTTACAGTATCTCCAATATGCAAACCCTGATATTCTTGTAAAGGCTGAACTACAAAAGGCCTCTCAAGAAATACATATGGATCAGACCTTCAGCTCCTATGAACCTACATACCTTCAGGCTTTTAAGGAAACCATTTCAACTTAACCTGGCTGAGGAGCTGGCCCACAGCTTTAAAATGCATCTGTTTTCATACTCTGACTGACAGTGCACACCAACTAATCTAAGTATTTATCCTATTTTATGCATCACTGAATTAAACTTACTAATACCTGTGTGAGAGAGGAAAGAATTATCCTCAATTAATAGACAAAGTGCAAGGAAACTATGTGTTTGCTCCAGGTTACACAAGAAGTCGGGACCAGGGCAGAAATGAAAACTTTCATTTCCTGACAATTTTCCTGTATCTGACCAGGAAGCCATGCTGTCCTCTACTTAAAGATAAATCACATCTAAATTTTGACCATAGAGGGGACACATGTTCAGCTGGTACAAGTAAGTGCAGCTATTTTGCTGTCAGCACAGTTATGCTCCATTTCAGTAGCTGATCTGTTCCACAGTTTATGTACATGAAAACTGACTACACATATGAGAAACATAAAGCTTAAACAAATGCAAGATATATTCATACAGTCAATCTCAAATTTATCTCATTACCACTGAGGCTTCCCCCTAAAAAGAAAAAATGCTTAAATTCAAACAATTTAATGGCACAAGCTAATTAAAATAGTTGTTCTTAAATCAGACTGTCTCCCCTCAAGCAGTTAAATTAGGGTTATGAAAAGAACATCAGGTGATAGACTTGTTTCTTATTACCATAAGAAGAGTGACTTCCTTGGCTGGATGATTTTTAAAGAAATCACGTGGTGGTGATATGATTTCCCCATGGTTAATAACTTTGGTGTGCCCAAGGGGCAGAGAGAGAGAAGAAAGGTCTCATCACACAGAATAAAGAGCAATTTGAGAATGATACCTACTGTCAGCTTTAGCAATGCAAAATGATTTAGCCACATATATATTCACGTATGTTCACCTCCCTAGAAATTGTAAGTAGAAGCCCAGATCATGCTTGACTCAATGGAGAGCACTCACAGAACACAAATTGCCTATAGCAGGTAGAGAAAATACATTAAGAAAATGGAATGCCAGAATATCATGTAAATAGAGAATGTCTGCCCCAGCTCCCTGCCTTGTAATCAGTCCTTCAGCCCCAAATGCACAGATTTGTTCTGTGTTTACTGACAGTGGTAGAGCCATGTCCTACCCCAAAATGCATTATTTTAAGGGAAGGTTCACATCAAAAGCAGGTGGGGTTCTTTTCTAAAAAAAAAAAAAAGCATCACACCAAAAGGCATGGTCACTTGGAAGGAGGTCACTTGTTCTGTAGTATTTCAGTGATATTTGATGTGTCATGGTTGAGGAATGGTATTCCCAATTTAGTGCTCCCATCGAAACCACGCCAACACTCGCTTCCCCCACCCCTCCAGATGGAAGCACAAAAGGCAAAGATCACTGGTTGGGAAAAGAACAGTTTACTGGACACAGCAATAACATAAGAAAACAAACTGTAACAGCAACAATATCAATAACTAAAGTGTACAAAGAGAGGGTGATTTATACGCAAAACGCTCACCAAGCCTTGGAGGATTAAAAACAATGGTGGACAGACCCTGCGCCCACGACCAGAGAGGAACATCCTTTCTTTTCCAAGAATCCCTTTTCCCCTGGCAATGATGTAAGATGGTATTGAACAACATCAGGGTGTTGGCCATGCTCCCTCTGGCTGATCTGGGCTGGAACCAGGACAATATGCCAACCCACCCCAATGCCCACCCGTGCCCTCCAGCCTTGCTACTCCCAAAGCAACACCTGGGAAATAAACGCAATTCCCGTGTATTTCACTATGTGCAAAGGGGCTCATGGGCTCACATTTGAAATAAACGTGAGTCAGTGAAGCTTCAGCGCAACCGTATATATATTAAGACACAAGTATATTTTCCTCTGTCCAAGAAGATTTCAGCACGGGAGACGTTAAACCATAAACCCTTTATTAACCAGCCTGCCCAGCGCCCCTGGCGCTCCCTGCACTTTCACAGCCCGTGGGGCTCCCAAGGGAGCGAAACAGCTCGCTCGACCAGAGAACGAACAAACAAACAAACAAACAAACAAATAACAGAGGAGCTGTATTTATGCGTTTGGGAACAACCGGGATAAATCCTGGCGGAGGCTTCGAAGCCAGAGCGAACGAGCCAACAAGAGCCCCTCAGGGCCCGGCTCTCAGGCGCCACCTGGCGGCGGCGGCGGGGCGGGCCCGGCCCGGGCGGCGCGTCCCTCATGAGGGGGAAGCGCTGCCCCGTGGTGTAAAATAAACACACGGTGAGGGCACAGGGAAATGTTCCCCGCGAATGGAACGCGCTCCCTCACCTCTCCGGAGGGAAGGGGAAAGGCCGGGAGGGACCGCCTCTCTGAAATTACTGAGTCATCCTCTGAAATTGTCGCGTCATCCCCTGAATTGCCGGGTCTCCCCGTCAGCTGAACAGTCCAACACAGCGCTGGGCGACAGCAGAGGATTTGGGGGAATGAGAGGGTGTCATTTCGCTAACAGTGCCCCTGCTCCATGGCCCACATCCCTGGCTGTTTGCAGACCGACACCAAAAGTAATAGATACATGAAGGTGCGGAGAGTCAGAGGATCCAGCTGTGAAACGAGGGGGACGTCTGAGGGATGAGGAGGAAAGAGCAAAGGGAGCGCAGTGAGCACAGACCAGGACACACAACTAAGCGTGAGAGCCACAATAATCTGATCAACTACTTCAGCAGAGTTACAGCACGTACCTAACTCCTGGACTCCAAGGAGCTGCTCTGCAGAGCTGGATGTTTCACGTGTTTCCAGCACTCAGCGCTCCTGGGCTGTGGTATCAGCTGGAGCACACCCCTGTTATAATAACAAAAAAATGACTAATTAAGTCTGAAGGGCTTTTTCAGTGCTGCATCAACCCTGTGCCAGGATGGAGTCATACGTGGCACAGCCTCCCTATTCACCACATGGCAATTAAAAAAAACCAAACAAACCAAACCAAAAGATATGTGTTGGCTCCTAATAGTATCTTCTTTTTAGTTTTAGAAGTCTGCTTTCTCTCTACTATCATTATAGGCCACTCTGGTGTATTTTCCATTTGAGTTTTAGATGTCAGGATAAGGCAAAAATCTATAAATGATCATTATTCTGTATTTTAAGGTCTCCAGACAAAAAACTGCTGCTGCATTGTTGGGCTTGGGGGCTCTAAGCATTCTTGGTGTTTTGTGTGTGCTGTTACAGAAATGAAATATTAGAGTAGCAAATACTATTTCCTGACACTTATATTTTAAAATATGTACATATAATATGCTTGTATTGTGTCGTACTTCCCCTTGATGTATGTGTCTCAGAAATGCAATGGTGCATTTGCTGTCTTCCTAATAACAGTTGTAGCTTCTAATACACTATAGAGAATCTTACAGGTAATAAAATCAATATAAAACCAGCTTGAATCCTACTAGTTCTTTTTTTTTTTTTTAAAGGAAAAAGAATTTCTTAACCTTTCATATTTTGGGGTCTTCTTCCTGAGCCCACTCCTGCAAGTTGCTGGATGACAGAACCTCTGAAGATTGCAATGGAAAAGAAAAGGAAATAATCTCTGTTTATTCAGGGATCATTACCACAAAAGAAGTAACAAAAATATCAGAAGGAATTGGTACAATTCACCTACTTCTGGCAGGACCAGGACTAAGAGCACACTCTTCTTCCTGCAGAGAAAGCTACATTTATTATCAGAAAAAAGTCTTAATATCAGCTTTAAAGCAATAGCTCTAATTTAATGAAACCAATAAAATAGCTTTAATATAATAAAAGCTACAGTATGAACCAAATAACAGTAAGAATCTCTGTTACATAGAGATGTACTAAACATGACAATATATTTAGGTTTTGTATTTCTTTAAAGAGGTGGGGGATCAGGCACTAAATCAGAGCAGCTGGAACTCCGAAGAAAGGTTTGATTTCTGCTTAAACTTGATAAATCAACTCTTTTTATGATTTCAGTAAGAGAAAAAGCTGTGGTATCTTACAGCACGTGTTGTTTCTTTGCATTTGAGATTTTGCACGAATTTAGTGTATCCAAAGGAGTCAAGTGCTACAAATAAAAATTCCCTGGAGATCCTCCTAACACCTTGAAGCTGGAACAAACCCGGGCAAGGCTCAGGCTGATGTCACCAGTGTGGCTGTGACTGGGCTGCTGAACCCATGACACCATCACTTTCTATCACTCTATCACATCTTTCTAGTTTTACTTTGCAAATATTATAAGATTTGTATACAAATAACTTCTAACTTTTTATAAGCCTTATAAGCTAAGCTTTATAAAGCTCCGTCTCCAAAGGAAAAGAAAGTTTAAACAGTAAAGAATAAATACACAGCAACAATAGTACAGAAATACATGCTACATCCATGCTAAATTTAGTTATCACTGGGGTTAATAACCATGTAATCAAGACATAACATACAGAGAATTGATTTTTTTGCCAAAGAAACCAACCACATTTTGTCTTTCTTGTTTAACACTTTCAAAAAGCTAAAAATTACTGTGTATAGATGCTGCAGTAACTCTAGGTGGCATATGGCAAATGCACATAAGTGATGGATATCAAGATATTAAAATTATTTCCCAATATAAAAGTCATGTTGTTATTGATAATTGTTTTATTCTTGAAAGCTCATAGGAGAAAGCATCTGCTTCTCCTCATTTAAATACAGGTACTTCTATAAAGAAAAGTAAACTATGTGAAAAAAATTTTCAAAGGAGATATTTCATTGTCTTTTGTCACTAAAAGCACTATTATTTATGGTTATTTGGGAAAAAAGACTAAATTATATTCTTCAATTAATACACCACATGAAAATTAAAGTTATGAGATTATGATTCAAGAAAGCTTTTAAGCAGCTTTGTGGTTCAACTCCACTGACAACAAGTCATACACTTACATTTTCTTTCTGGGGGAGTCATTCTCATTAACTTTTAGTTGACTGATGTAAATAAAATACATGGAGAATACCCTTGAGTGCCCCTAGGAGTGTACCAGGGTCTCCACTGCCCACACCTCAGGGTAGACAGTGACTGGATGTAAAAAGTTGCGTATACTTTTACTTGGAGACTGTTTGATATCTACTGGTTACTTCTATTTTCTGTAGAGAAATCTGTGGTGTGCTTTTATATCAGCTTGGAATAAATGTTTATGTCCAAAAAAGTTGTGTAGTGAGTACAAATCTCCACATCGTAACTGCCTTGAAATCACGTTTTAAAATAATTTTAAGACTACCAGTTTTCCAAAAGGAGAAGCCACATTTCCCCCTGTCACGTCTATATAATGTTTCCAGTTTTATGCCTGGGAAATTTCAGTAAATCTCCTATCTGTCAGGGGGTCCAGCCTTCTGGAATAATCAAAATTATGTGTCATTACAGAAACTTCTCTTATTAAAACTACTGTAATGATTTTTTTAATAGACATTTCAAAAGGCTAGGCCTCACTCTCCTCTCAGTTACATTAGAATAACCCCATCAACTTCAATTATCTTATAATAATATGAAGATCAGAGACTTATCATTGTCCACTTGCTGCTATCTATGTAATAGAACACTGTGGGCATCAAATCTAGCTTTTTTTTCCTGTAGAAAATGATTTCTCTTTAATACTTTTAATAATGAGATCTAACATAGAATCAAAGTGACTTTTAAGAATTTCCTATTTGTTCCTTTGTGATTAAATTTTTTTCCTAATATATCATAAAAACTTTAACCAAAACCTAGAATAATGAGATCAAAATTATTTAAATGAAAATACATGTCTAGACTATTGAGTTATGTCTTCTTAAACCATACTAAATAATACAAGCTGAAGAACAATAGCTTCCAGCCAAGTCTTTTGTGCATTCTGAAAAACTTTATCAAGGCTATGTTAAAAACTGCATTAAACTGCATTAAAATTGTATCCCTGATGTGTATAACCAATTATGCCATTTCAGGTGTGGTTTGGATCTCTATGTATGTTCCCCACAGTAGTGAATTTTGGAATCTAAGTATGTCCTAGCACTTCAGTCTTCAGTGTAAGGTTATATCATGTCACACATCAAAAACTGTTTTCCCATGAAAATACACGATTTTGAGAAAACTCATAATCGAAGAAGGGAATACAAGAGTAGCTAATTCTGCTAAAATCAATTAATAAATAAAGACAGCTGAACTTCATCTTGAAAATAGGTTGTGATCTGAAACCAGTTATAGGCAGCTGTACCCAGACATCCACAACTAGGAGGAATGTGAGTCTTGGTTTTCCAAATTCTAGTGCTTAGCCTTACCTTTGGATATGTTCTCCTTCAGTGTTTACTTTCACATTGTAGGGAAAAGGGTTAGAGAATTTTCTCCCTTATCCCTTATTTCTCCTTTTTAAAATTGCACTTCCTTTTTCTTTCTCTTTTTTTTTTTTTTTTTTTTGTTTTGGTTGGTTGGTTGGTTTTGGGGGGTTTTTTTTGTTGTTTTTTTTTTAATCTGGATAATCCCTACCCAAGATTTTTTGCTGTTTCTGCATACTACCTCCAGAAACTTGTGATGGATGAGCCTGGCATGGCCATGACTCTGAATATTAAATTTCTGGGTAAAATAGGAGAACAAGTTATTTCAGCTATGGATTCTGGAGATAAATATCTGTATATTCCCCTCTGGATAACCAGTTTTGTGCAGCCTTACTTAACAGAACTCAGAGATGAACTGCAGAGAGAGGAATTTTCGGAATAATGTTGTTAATGGATCCTGGCATCCGTATAATACAGAAGTTCAGAAAAACAGCCCCAAAAAGAAACAGATTTGTTTTCAATTACAAGGTTTAAAGTCATAGTTTGGTTGACTTAACTGGAATATTTCTAATTTACCTCTGGTGAGGATCTTGCCAAGTATCTAATTTAAAAACAATTTTGGATATTATGCAGATGATGGTATAATATTTTTTAACTTTCCAAAGGAGTCTGTGTTAACAAGTAAAGTTTTTTTAATATCAAGTGAATGACATCATTCATGCTAATTTACCTGCACTTTTCAAATCTGGAACTACACTAAGACTTGCCCTTTTCAGAAGAATACACCTTTTGGAAAATGCAATTAAAATCTTTATACTCCCTTCAAAACAAGGGAGACGGGATTTGCAAGAAGACTCTCCAAAAATTCCTTGTGAGGAGATATTTGTACCACTTAGGTTTAGGTACATCCCTGAAAAATCTAACTTGTGCAGCTGATCCCTTCCAGTTGTAGGTACAAGAAATAGCAGCAGGATCCTCCAGGGGCTGGTTTGGAGAGCCTGGATCAGGCTCCAAACTCTGAATATTCCTCTGGAGGAACCTCTGTTAATTGTACCTCAGGCAGATACATCTCCTGCAGTACTGGGAATACCTCCTTCCTAATGTTCCTGTCACTTAATTCTAGAGATGTCAAAATTAAATAGTATTAATTAAGTACATGTAATTTAGAAAACATACAATTCACAACGATTTATTGAGACAGACTGTGCAAATACTTGTTTGCAGTTACTCTGTACATGTTTACTAGAACAATAATTAGCTTCCTAAAACATGCTCATTGCATAGGGAAGTTTAGGTGGCATCAACTATACAGTAATTTACCTTAATTTTTAAGGTAATAATTTACTTTAATTTTTAAGAATATGCCTGTAAATTCCAACTAACTTTTAACATCAACGAAGCATAATTATAGGATTTTTTAAAAAATAAAATAACTTCTTAAATTATTGCCAAAGACAATCCCACCTGTCCAAGGAAAGAAATAATATGGTTAGAGTACTCAGAGAAATTAGAAGAAAACCACATTCTATCAGAATAGATGCATTAAGTTTAATAATTATTTTAAAGCTTACAGATGCTGGTCCCTGCAGACCTCATGTGAGTTATGAAATCTAATATTATTCTCATAACTCTGTAATAAAGTTTTATAAATGTTATAAAAAAGGTTTTTACTAAGAGTGAACAGAAATCTGAACTATCTGGCCAAGTAATAAAATTGCATTCCTTTCTTGCTAAGTGTCAGGTAAGAAGTTTTCCCTGGAAATTCATTGCTAAGTTTTCCTTTTCCACTGGACTGCATTCATTTTTTAATTCATAGACCAGTAGCTTTTCTTAATGGGTTTTCCATTAACATCTGACTCGACTGCTAGCAAAAGAAAAGGCAAACATAAAACAAAGTGAGGGAAATAGTCAAGAAAAAGCTTTTTAATAATTGATTGTATTGCTTTCCAACTTTGCAATGTGTTTTGCTGTGCTCATTTCTTACTCTTTACAACGGACAACACAACTCAGGGCTTCCTCCAGCAGCACAAAAGGGGTTGCAAAAGCAGATGGACCATCCTTATGGAGGGATAATCCCCAGTGGAAGATCTGATATAACCTTTAATACAAACTTGGAAAGGATACTGTGGTTCTAAGAAAATAGACACGTGCAGTATTTCGGCCATGAGCACCCACAGTGATACCTGGGTACCTCCCCTGAACACCTCTGTCCTGGAAAGATTACAATACCCTGCTGGAAGACGGATAATTAGTCATACTTTCAACTGCTGATTATTGTGGGTAGACAAATCTGATTTTTAAAATGTTTTTAATAATGTACATGTTAGAGGATAATTTTTGCTTCATTTGTTAACCTTTGTTGCTGAAGGTCTCAAAAATCCTTGTTTCACTCTGAATATTGCTATAGCAGCTGAAGATCAATAATTGCTTTCTCACCATCACTGAAAAATAATGATATGCCCACGTGTTTGATCAGCAGCAAATTAGGCCTTCCAGCTAAATGGCACCCCTTGGACAAGTGAGCCAGCATGGAACAGGCAGGTGATTTTGCTGTCAGAGATGTCTGCACAGCAATGCAGATGGAAAGCAAAGCATTGTTGGTCTTTAGGCAGATAAATAACATAAATGAGGATATTACTGGAGCACTCAGAGCAATAGTTGTGTTTCCCTGATTTGCTGGTTGGGGGTAGGCTGGTATCTTCATGCTTAACTACCCAACATACAGGTGTGGCCATTTCCATATTGTCCCAATCACACCATGTAAATGTTAAAAATAGCCTGTAACAGTTAAAAGGTATCCTTATTCTGCCTCTTTAATTAAGAATGTTATTGCATTAATACTTATAATTTCATTAATGTGGTGAGATTTGAAGAATGCCTACATTCCATTTTCACTCCCCCCCCCAGATTATTTTATACTTCTATTTATACATGACTGTGTATTAGAGTGAAATTATTTCATACCCTTAAAGCTTGTCATAATGTTCTTGGAGAGGACTTGTTTTAAAAACATATTTTAGTTAGTGAATGGCTTGGAAAAATATACTTGGTCCTGTTCCTCCTTTCATTGCATAGGAAGCTGGAAAAACTCCAGTGATCACTGGTATTACTGTCTTATAAATGACTGCAATATATTTCTCTAAATTTCACACAGTGTTGAATGGTTTTGGCAGTACGAAATGGATAATGTGAATTAAGTTTAGTCTTTAAACTAATTCTCCATATGTACTGAAAAATCTAAAGAACCTCGATTTTCAACCAGAAAGCTCTTCTCATGTCTTATTCCTTACTTATTAATTATTCTAAAAAGAACAACACAATGGCAAAAAAAAAAAAATAGAGGAGGAGAGAAAAAGGAAATGGAAAAACAGAATTACATTTTGTAGCACTTTGGTGAACAAAATACACATTTCAACTAAATCAATTAGATCCAACTCCATGTAATTATCCTGAATGCAAACTCAACTTGAATTTAACTTGCTAGGGGAACTATGCAGTTCGCCTGTTTAAAAAGACAGATTTTATCACCAGCTAAAGGCAGTTCAATTAAAATTGGAGGCTTAACCACTCAGAAGCCTGCTGGCACTGCCTTGATGAGCTGTAATTCTAATTGGAAACTCTCTGCAGTCAGTGCACAGCAAAGAAAAACAGCCAATTCCTGGCTGTTTTTCCAGGAATGCCCAAGTTTTCTGCGGATGTTACCGACGTACCACGTCTGGAAGGGGATTATGTGACATGTTCATAGATGAGGGGGGATAAAGAACAGGTCTGGATCCCCCTGAACCACGAAGCTGGTTTATTCTTCTCTCATGAGAAGCCTTGATTTTCATTTTTCTGTATGCCCCAAAATATTTTTTCCTTCAGGTGTTTTTATTTCATTATTTCACTGACAGTTGAGGTCTATTCCGTACGTGCCAGCAAAGGCCAGAGGGGACTGATTATATACTGGAAAGGTTTTACGTGGAGGCGACCAGATTGAAGCACCTTCAAATGAAAGCTGTATTAATGGTAACTTAAGCAATTGTATTTAAATCTACTTGTATATTTTAGAGCTTTTGATAACTGATTCAATGCAGTTGTATCTGAGTCTATAAGAAATATCGTCAGCACCATTGTTAGTATTTCATTATTGTTAAATAACCTCTTTGTTAATCTGTGGTTTCCTCACTAAATGTTCATAAATTCAGTAGTTATGTAGACCAGAGTATAGAATTGCTTTTTTGAGCTCTGTTTTCTCAGCATATTCCAGCTACTGTTTCAGTATACAAAGCCCTTGTACCCTGTATGACCGTAAACTTCAGAAAGCAGGAGTTTATTTTCCTAAAAGCAAAAAAACCCCCAAACACGCAGTAACTAACACCAGAGTTCCACTTTTAGCTGAAACATCATCACAAAACACTACTCTCAGCTCATTAACTGTGAGACCTTAATAACTAGAATGAAAACATATGACAGTTTTATTTCCCTCTATAATATTATTTGAGGTTTTGAGCAGATTTTTATATTACCACTTGTAATTGTGATAGCCTAAATATGTTTACTGCCTTTATGCAAATGTAAAGTCTAATATTCAGTAGAGCTGCTTGCATTTTTTTTCAAATGTTAAACTCCTAATCAACAACCGCTTCCAAAAATCTTCAAAGAATTTCTCGATATCGCGTTTTCAGTTTCGATATTTAATGTGCATATCGGTGGCCACAACTGGTACAAACCCAGCCCGTTTTTTGTGTGTGGTGTTGACAGTGATTTGCTTTCATCTTTTTTCATATTTTCCTGCATAATTTCCAAGCCTCTAAAAGTAGGCTCTGCTGACACAGCATTTCCACAAGCAGAATTTCTCTCCCCTAGCTGAGAAAGGATTGACTCAGCTCAGAACGAAACAAGGGATCCATCAGGAATCGCAACACTGAAAGGTGGGAAAGATGGGAGAAATAACCGAGTTTAAGAGAAAGAATGGAACATCACAGAATGGAAGAGGAGGAATATGGAAATGCACAGAGAAAGCTTTTCAAATAAAAGGGCTGTCTCAGCCCTCAGTTGCAGATAAGAAGCCACTGCTTTGAACTCATTTCACTGAATCACCTTGAACATTTTGAGTAGGTTTTGAGACATTCGGCAGGAGTCAAAAGGTTAAGTCTTCCACTATATTTTTGAAGTAATTTTGCTGTTTTTAAGTCTATATTCATCTCTCAAAAGATTTTTTTTTTTTTTACATCAAAGGAAGAAAGACAAGTAAAAATTTTAACTGGTAACTTTTTAGTGTTATAACCATTTTTTCTTATGGGTATGATCAGGGTAACTTTTTCAATCTCAACTTTGAAGAAGAAGCTACTGATGTATTTTAGGTCCTTTAAAGTCACCTAATGTAGTATCTCTACTCTTTTTTTCAAGATCTAATAATAATGAATAAAAGCAAAATTAAGGGGAATAATGTCAAGTTTTCTTTTTTTCTTGCTGACTATTGAAAATAGAATGTTCCTTGGAATCAATATTTCCTTTACAAAAGACTACACTGGTAGGGTTTGGAATTCTAATCAAATGTGACTCTCAAAGTAATTGTGCTCCAATACTAATACACCTGTTTGGATGAAAATACACAGCATTTTTGCTGATTTTCTACAGCCGTGTCCCTTGGAAAGGGATGTTACAAATAACAATAATTCTTAAGGATAATTAGTTCACATGTTCATTGCCACAGTTGGTGCATATATGCTTTAGCTTTTTCCCTCATTCACAGTGTGTCACCTGGACATATTCAAACCTCACCCTTCTTAGAATACACCTCATGTCATCTCAGGTCTGTTACACAGCGATTTGGAGACTCCAAGAATTAAGAGGAGGAGGGAGAGAACATGACCTGAAGACCTCCTGTCACTGTAGAACTGCTTGATCAGAGGTAACATCTGCCCTGGATTCTTCTGCAATATTCTTGCAGCTGGTGAAAATGTGGGTTGAGCTCTGTCTGGCTTTACTTGTGCCCTACATTCACAGGCCCCAGTGCCTGCAAGGCTCTGCCTCAGCAACCTTCTAGCACACCTACCATCCTCTCTAATCATCTGTGCCCAGAGATAACCATTTCCTTAGACTGCTGTGTCAGGAACAGCTGCATGGAATGACCACACACATGCTCCTGACATCAGGTGAAACTCAGTGTTTTGGAAAGATTCCTACAATGTACTCTCTCCCCCAAAAGCACAGTGTACTGGGGGTCCTTCACACCAGTTTGTATCTCTTGTATTCTGGTAGGAAAGGTAGTAGCTAATGGGAAGCTACTTTCACAAGACAATACAATAATGAGCAGGATACTTCTCCATAAAAATGTACCCTTCCAAGAGTCTGGAAATGTCCCAGTGGGCACTGAGTTTTTAATATAATAGTTTACCACTGACAGGTAGAATCTCATTGTGATAAGGTGAGTTTCTAGCTGAATTATCAAGCCACATGTAGTCAGCAATCTGTCTTGGGGCAACTGCTAACAACATTAACAACTCTGAACTGCTAAACCATCATAGTACTGAAAAATCACATAAAGCAGATAAGATTAGTTTTTTATTCTTCAAGACTTAAAGATTTCCTTAAGTCCTTAAGAAAAGAATCCCAATGAAGACAACTGGCATTTCAAGCTGGCTAAAGACGTTCATAATGGCTCTGTTGCATCACACTTTCACCATGAGCACAATGATTGGTTTTAGCTAGAAAAGACAGAATATTTCCTCAGAAATTGCAAGGGATTCTGCATTTGTGTGGCATTCACATTGCTTACCAGTTTTTCTTGTGCCATGACAACGTTTTCATCCTGTGATAATGTACAGGTACCTGCTCATCGACAGGGAAAAAAAGATGGTTAAAGACTTACATGTCCCTCAATGCAAGATATTTTCTGAGGAAATCTTGTAGAATCATAAGCAGTTCTGAGGACAGCAAAGTATTTCTCCAAAGATCTGTTCTGTAAACTATATATGAACCTCTTTTTTTTTTTCTACAGCTACTTAACAGTACTGATTTTAGTATCTTCTTTTTTTCCTGGGTGTAAAAATGTCCATTATAGATGCCATTCTTTCTGCCATGCTTTTTTTTTTCTTCCTCAGGTGCTGGTAATAGGCTTAGACTTCAGTTTAGCCAAGGATATGAGCTTGACTTTGCTGTGGTGCACAGCAGATATATAACTTTGCCAGATAAGGCACTCAGCACTGAGCAAATCCATTCTCCTCAAGTTTGAACCTGCTTGATGGTTACAGAGAAAGTCCTTTTTTAACAATTTCATGAGAACCAGTTCTTTGAGGAACATCTTTCGTGTTGCCATCACTTACATGCTGTGGACAGCGTCGCAGATGTTAAATATGTGATAATCACACCATTTCTGCTCCTGTCCAAACTTTTCTCAGAAATATTGTTTCCAACCTCATACTAAGCTTGGTAAAATTCCTGAAGACTTCATGCACAGACTCAGAAAGCTATTGATTGCTTGGCTAATGATGTATTGAGCAACCTGTCACAAAGCAGCAGCCACACCTCCTGCTTACCTTCTTCAAGCAGAGGTGGGCACTGCTAGTAGGAGTTACAAGTAAACCAGGAGTTTGGGTATTAATAGAAAATTACAAAAATCATAGCTGTGTCCTAATATTATTTTAAAAAAATTCTTAAATTAGACATTGTTAAAATTAAAAATCAGCACTTTGGAACATTGTTTTCTTTACTTCTTTCAGCATACATCAACATTTTATTATTAGAAAACCATCCCAAAACACTCACGATCTATTAAGGAAACCAAACAGCCTCTGTTCCTGTGTAAGTAATCACATATTCTTTATAAAATAATCCAAAGAAAGAAGGCCATGGCATAAGGCCATCCATAATGTATGATATGTATTTATATGTATAAATATGAAGTTATTCTGTCAGTGGAAGTATAAGCATATAAATTCTACAGAGATAAGAGAAACAACAATCTCCTGAGCTGGATTTGCATATTTTGCAATCTTGCAGTGTGTATCTCAGCTTCTTCTATAATTGATTTGAAGCTGCTACAGCAACATTAAAATGTCAGAGGCTTCGATTTATGTACCACTCTGCACAAACCTGTTGTCCAGTCACAGAAAAGGAGGTAGTCACAGCATGAGCTGTTCTTTATTTTGCTTGAAAACACCTTGCAAATAAATGCTTTATGGTTCTCAAATCCTCACGTTAATTATGGATAAGAAAACTCTCCAGACAAGGAAAGCATGAGATATGCAGACAAACCCAGCTCTCCTGAGGATGCTGAGTGTGCACTATGGTCACTGACCTGTCACTGCTGATTTACCTTTGGATCACCTTAATGTTCCTGTAGCAGCAGGAAATATACCTTCCGTGGGATGCTGTCAAGCTCAGAGATGTTGGTACCTTTCAAGTTTAATAACAACACGGTTTCTCACTCATCTAAAAACACTGGGATCTGATTTGTGGCTTTCCAAAGGCCCATTCAATTTTTCAAAAGCCTCTCAGAAATTACTGGGTTTGTTAAAAAGTTGTGGTTTTTGACAGCCAGCTCTACAACTCAAGGTTTAACCAAAGAGTCCTTACAAGCTTTAACCACAGGGAATATTTCCACACCTCGAAATTGAAGCATTTTTGAGGGAAAAAATATGTAACTTACTTGACAACTTTTCATTTGAGAGTGAAGACAAACCTATAAATGAATATAATATGGTTCATATTATATATCATATATATAATACGAAAATAAACCTGCAATGAAATTTGTTTATTTCATTATGGAAATCTCATTATTCAGACCTAATTTAAGGCACCTTTTTGGTTAATTCTTGAACTATGATAACACTTGTTTTTCTGTGTAGTTGATATACCAGAATTGTAGGCAGTTACCTTTCTCTTAACCAGGGGGTTACTGTAGAACAACAAACATTCCTACACTTTCTATTGCTCGTTTCGGAGTATTAATAAGAAATTTAATGAAACTGGAGGAACTCAATGAGCAGAACCAAGGGAATTTTCCTTGAAAACTGTGATTTCTTCCATACCATACTATGAGAAAGGGAAGAATTATTTCATACAGCTGGGATGATTTTTATAACTTCAGAAACTAGAGCTTTAGAAATGAGGGAAGTCATTCTGGAGGAATTACCACCGCTCATGTCATGGGCAGCGAGAGAGAACCTGGGGATTTTATTTACACTCCAAATGTTAGTCTGGTTCACCCACACTGGAAAACAGCATTATGGAAAAATTTGTCTAGAGAAAGAAAGCAGATGAGATTTGTAAGTGAGCATTCTGGCAAAACGAGGCCCCTTCAACAGGCCTGTAATTTATATGCAGATGAGAGGGGAAAATGAGGGAAGAGTAAAGAACTAGTATCAGTCAGGTTTTGATTATTAATCCTAACTCAATATGACTTCTTATTTGCATGTTTTTAAATGGACTAGAGCATTAAAAGCAAGTTTCCTATGCATTTTAAGCTTCTGAAAAACTAGATATCTGATTTCTTTACTCACTTATTTGGAGAACTTCTTTGGTTCTTGTATTCTATTTGTTTTGACACTTTTATTGCTTACTTTGTACTGAAGGGAAAGTAACCTACACCACATAAAAATAAAAATATTACAGGTGACACCAGCCCCTTGAAGTTACAGTCACAGATTAGATGACAAAGGACATGGGCACAATTAATTTAATTCCAAAAGAGTGTCACTGGAATTACTTTTAGATTCACTTGAATCTGTTGAAAAAATGAATGGGTGTTATCATGCATGTACTGGTTTTAAAGCATTTGTTGCTTTTATAGAATGGAAAACATATTTTTTAATAAAGTGAAATAAAAATCTTTGATTATCAGTGCTATTGTGTTTATTCCAGTGTAAGCTTGAAATATGCTAAATTACTGTTTCTGAATCCTTGTAGGGATAAATTCTGTATAAATCTGAAGTGAGAAGGTATAAAAATGAACTGTAGAAAGCTACTACAGATGACCCCCAGTGATGGAATAAATAGTTTCTAATTAAAACAAAAAGAAAAGGGTATCACATACCTTTTCTAGATTGTGTGTAAAACACCTGGCTGTTACATTTCTCTGGAGGAGAAAGAACAGTATCTGTGGCAGCTGGATCTTGCTGCTTTTGGGTGCTGGAATAACAATTAAAATTAGTACATAAATAGAAAGGTATAAACAGTTACATTTATTATATGCACTTATTTTACATTCTGTCCAAAAACCTGCAGAACTATATAAACAAAAATATAACAAGATGAAAGAAAACATCAAGTATATATATTAATATAAACTATCTGGCTTCAGCCTACAGATTGCAGACTAAAAGCCGCTATAGAAATTACAGAAATAAATCAGAATTTCCGACTGGTAGTGTGTCTATTGGTCATTTTGCTATTAAACAGTTCTGCATTTTTTGACAGCTTCACGCAAAAGGAAAAAAGCTGATACATAAGGGGAAATAAATCATAGTAGAAAAGAAGATTACAAAACCAGATAAGATTGGCTTTTGGAATTTCTAGGTTGTTTTATTCTCACATGCAAGGTGCTTGAAAAAGAAGGGAAAGGAGACATGGCTCTTGGTCCCAAATATCATTGGACAGTAGTTCCAGATCAGGAGGGAAGGCACTCAGTGGAGCATCTCTTTCCTAAGCCATCACTCACACCATTCCCACCCAGAGACTAATCCTTCCTGCAGAACAGCTACAACAGAAGGACCATAAGATCCACACAGCAAATCACTTGCTGTTCAAACAGTTTAGACTGCATGAACTCACTTCCACATGTTTTGTTTCAATTTTTTTTTTTTTTCCCCAAATCTTGGGGACCTCTGACTGCACAGAGCTCCAGTGGAATCCTAAAAAAGCTAGGATTATTGCTCCTTCATCACCTCTCAAAAGAGGATCATCATTTCATCCCTTGCAGAAGTGGAAGGGATAATCAGGTTTTAGAATTCAAGCATTATTGGGATATTAGGTAGATTTAAGTTAGCATAAGGGGGATTGTAATACCATAAGCTATAGGGGTTGAAAACCCAAGGAGATGTAAAACTGTAAGCCTCCAGCTGAAGGATGAAGCAGTAAACCCAGAAAAATGCAGACATCTGTAACACATCAGGAATGTAAATGAACTCATTGTAGCATAAATGATAATTGAGAACTCTCACTGATAATTTAGGATGCATGAAAATTTTAAAATTGGGCCTGAAGCACAGTGTGGAATCCTGTGAAGTTTCTGACCACAGAAAAGGTTGGTCTATTTTCTTAATTGTTTGTAAGTGTTGCTGCTGCACTCCCTGCCTTTCCCAGTATTCTTTCAGTGGCACAGACAATCAGAGGCTGCCTTGCAAGGCTCCTAATAAAAATTACCTCTCTGTCTATGTGTGTGTCTTTTTACATAAGTGACTATGTTAAAAGTTTTCCTGTATCACAGCAATTCAAAAGAACAAAAAATATTAATTATAGGTTTAAGGCAATCTAGTTGATTTGCTCCCATTTTACTTATTAGTATCCAAAATACTGTAAAGGGCAAATGAAAAGGCATTCACAGTATACACATTACAACTAAAATATTTGGTTACCAGTGGAATATTATCTTTTGGTCATCTTATTAAATCAATAATGTTTAGTAGCTGAACACCAAGCAGTTTATTTTCCCCTAAAGTAAAACCACATGGTAGAACTCAGATTAAAAATGGCCTAAAGAAAGGACTTAATCTGATTAGGAGATGACAGCTCCATCCCATATCAATTTACAGAAGTCAGAAGTGGTTAGTTATATCAGTTTTCCTTGGTTATTACGTTCAATCTTGAATAAATGAGGGGGAAAGTCTGTCTGTACTCCTCACATGCAGTCATTTAATTCACTATTCTTTCCTGGTAAATCTCATTCATAGCACCCCTTTGAAATATGAGCGGTGATGCCAATTACCACAGGCATGTTGGCTGAAGGGAATAGAGTTCATTTGATTGGGGAAAAAGTCATCAATGAAATCTCTTGTAATTCCTGTGTCCCTCAGTATTTAATTCCTCTACTGTTTATTTTACATTTCCAAGGTAAGCACACATCCTTTCCTCCCACTCAGTTTCTCGTTAGTTCTCCACTGAGTCAGATCACTTGAAGAATATCCAAATTGATGAATGATGGTGTTGCCTTTTAAAAGCTAAAGAATCATAGAGTGAACAGCTTTTCTCATCTATAATCTTAGTCTAATCAGATGTTCAATCCAGTTGAGGACAACATAAATTTAGGAGTTTATAATCCAGCAGCCAAACTGATAAATTGCTTGCAGTAAGGACATTTTATCATGCAAATGTCAATAAACTCAGAAATAAGCATTAAAGGAGAACAGAAAACTAAAATTAAAACCAGGGAGTTCATTGACTTAAGTCAAATTGTCATTTAAAACTGAGTTTGTTAAAAGAAAAGGGTATTATACAGAAATGTATTTGTCTTACTGATATTTTAAATTTAGCTGAAGTCCTGGCTTCAACAGGGTTTGGGTTTTACCTGTGGTGTACAGTTAGATCCACTCTTTCTCAGTAACAGGCATTGGCCATCTGGCAAGAATTGGCAACTTGTTCAATTTTTCTGGGATACATCTGATTAATTACCTTCTCTGCTCATAAACAGTTTTCCTGAACAAACAAACAGAACCTCTGTCTCATCCCAGGGCTTGTGCACTGTCCGGTGCACAAACAGCTTTAGCAGGTTGTTGCACTCTGAGCTGGAAGGTGTAGTTATCTAGCAGAAAAAATAAAGAACACATGGAGTTAATCATTGCATGTCCTGCTGTAGCAACTTAAATTCTTAACTTAAAATCTCTTAAGTATTATAAACTAAAAAAAAAGTAGTCCTGGTGTATAATGACAGAATGGAGCACAGCAGTGATTTCCAGAGCAGCTATATGTGACTCTTGACAACGTGGGTGACCCTGATGGCCCTGGCCTTGGATCTAGGCATTAAATGCAGTAATAACTCAGCCAGCATCAAAGCTGATACTTCATTCTGATGCATACACGAGCAATTGACCTTTGCTGCTGCAGTTTTGTTGTATTTTGAAACACTCACACTGTGAAGAGAGGGGCGAGGATTCTCCCTCAAAAATCCTCAGAAGAAATAAACGTGAGAAGTTCACCAACGCAGCAATGTAAAAGACAGAGGTGGTCAAAATACCAGAAAAGATGACGAATTTTTTAATTGCCTCAATTTACAAAGGAGGCCCAGAGCTACAAATGCTTGTTCTTGTTCCACTTCATCGGTCACAGCACGTTCTGCTGGCCCAGGACAGATTTATCTCACAGGCTTGGCCAGCCAGGTCAGACTTACTTTCTGGTACAACTCACCAACACTTCAGAACTGTAACTAGATGTCATCTACCAGGTGGAAAAAGCCTTGCTACTAGTTTGGTGGTTTTTTTAATTTACTGGTAGCAGGCAACTTCAGTCTTTCAAAGCCTTATTTTATGGATCATGTGGATCAATCTTGCCCTTAATATAAAATAATCCCAACAGTTTAAAATTTTCTAACTATTTAAAATAAGATTTTGCTACTTAAGGGCCTCCTTAATTTCTAGTATAATATAAAACATCTTATTTTATATATTTGGTTAAATATAAGAATGAAAATGAATATGAATACACCGATATAGCTTGACCTAAAACTTCCTGAAGCAGGATGGAAAGGTGCAAGCCCTGGCATACATATAAGTTAAATTTAAAAAGCCATTAAGCTGCTTTGTAGAATTAGATGTCGTAAGTGATAGAAAACCCTCACTTGACAAGCATATCTTTGCAAAGAGGAACAATTTCAGCTATAAGGAGAAATCTTACAGAAGACACCTTAATAAAAGGATGAGGGAGAACAGAAAGCTTGAAGGCTGCTGTAAAACTGACCAAGAAAGAAACAAGGTAGTGTTAGACACAGAAATACAGACAGAATGACCCTGAACAACTATATTGGCAAGAGAGTTTTGCAATACTATCTAAACAAACTCGACCTCATAGTCTGTACCTTATAGTCCTTATGGTTCACTTCACCCTGGATTCCAGGGAACAGGACTGCATGATTTCTCTTAACAAACAAATACATTTTTATTACATTTATTACAAAATAACTCTACATATGTGTTGTTTAATATATATAGTGCATCATTTCTTGATTCTTTTTCAGTGTAGAACTATAGGCACTGTTACTGTAAGCACTGCTCAGCAGTAATGAAAACACCTCCGACTTACCAACACGGTTTCCAGCACAAATCCAAAACACAGCCCCTATACCAGCTACTGTGGAAAAAGTAACTCTACCAGAGGCAACCAACATACCATGATAGTACTGAAGATATTTATTTATTTATTTATTTATTTATTTATTTATTTATTTATTTATTGTTTTGGAAATGACATGATTTTTCATTTTGGGTCACTGATAGGTTGTACACATTAAAGACATACCAGATGAACCCAAGATAAGCAGACAACAATGAGAAAATCAGTTTTGACCATTTCTTCATTAATGATATGATAAACACATATAAAATTAAATAGATACGATAAATATAATATATAAGCAATTTAGAGAGTAGGTCTTTCTAAACAACACAGTTAGAAACTCCAGTTAAATCCTCAACAGCCTGACAGCACTACAGGAATCTGTGGAAATAATCTAATACAGAAATCAATCCTTGCCTCTCTGTGGTTTTTTTGCAGTGGGCTTTGAGATGCATAAGGTGCTCTGTCATACAGTGCACATCTTTTGGCAGTCAGATGGCTTTTTTAGCACCCCTACCTCTGCAATTATTTTTCCTGAGGCATAGGTTCCTTGGTTGGCTTTGTAAGCATTCAGATAAGCACAATTCCTTTGCCCCTGGTTGATCATACAGACATCTCTGTTTGGGTGATGGCAGTTTAAGTAATAATGAAAAATTCCTTTGGAATTGCAAGGCTGAGCAATATGTCAATGTGGCAAAAAATTCAAAGCATGAAACTATCGCAAATTTCTCTCATGATTTTAGGTTTGGTAAATAAAAAAAAGCAACCCATTTTAAATGCTTCAGTAGTGTCTTTATAAAAACCAAGGTACATAGGCTTTGGCTGACTTCCTGAGTGATACTTGATTCAGTTGATAAAGGAGTTGATTATGGCCAACAGATGGTCCAAATATTGCTTACTTAAAATGAAGATATTTTACTTTTCATTTATATTTCATGGTTAGATCTTTACACATATTATACTGGAGAAAACAGCTATTCCTGCCTTAATGCTCAATTTAAAAATTGCTGGTTTTCCTCTACATTCCATGTTCAGAATAAAAATATGCATTGTCCACAGTTTATGTTGTACAACATATGCTTAGATAATCTCTCCAGTCTGATCTTGAAGCATTACTTGTTATCTCCTGTTGGGCCTTATTTCATGATGTCAACACCATCAACAAACTGCATAACACGTCAACAGGCTACATGGTATTAAGGTTATTAGCACCAGTTGTTGGTTTGTTTTTTATAATCCGTGTAATTTCAATACAGTTTTGAGGAAAATGTTTCCAAAGGCAGAATGAAAAGATCCTCTCCACTTCTACTGCAAGTATCCTACGTTAAGATCTGATCACATACCCTCTGCATGACCAGGTGCTGAAATATTGACTGCTTATCCATATGGATGAAGATCAGTTTTTCAATTCTGAATGCCTCTAAAGCAAACAGTGCCTCACTCCTTGCTCTTTTCATGTTTTGACAGTCACCCTAAGGATTTATCAGCAGTGAAAGCACCAGGCCTGTTTTACTGTCCTGTATGAATGAATATTCATTCACGTGTCCACGTGACTGTTTTTTAATCTCTGTAAAGATCATAGTTCTTGACTTCTGATCAGTCCAAATATATTTACACCTAAATCACCGATTCAAGTCTCTTGTTAAGGCCTTCACAATGGAATCCAGCAGCTGCTGAATTCACCTGATCAGTACCTCATTGGGGTCTTTAAAAATCAGTCTTTGAAAAGCTCTTGAATAACATGAAAAACACTGGGTGAATCTTCTACGATGTAAAACGTGTATTGAAATACTTCTGTATATTTGCAATGAGTTTGATTTTTTCCTGAGTTTCTCAGTCCATCTGCCATGGGTTTCACTACCACTGGACAGGGCTTCTTGTGTGAGCCAGTGTGACTCGTTTAAAGGCTTTTATTCACCTCCCTGGGATGGAAATAATGTATTTCAGGTTATTGAGCCTGAAATACTAAAAAAGTGATTTGTGAGGCAAAACTAAAGAGAAGTATTCAGGAATATAAAGCTCTAGCAAATGCTGAGATACCATTCTCTTCAGAACAAGTAAAAGGAACAAATAATCTATTAATCTAACTTGTATCTGAATCAGTCCAAGGGTTCATATGTACAAAAAAATTGTCAGATGTTCAAGCAAACACAGCCTATGTCATTGTCTTTCCATATTCTGTTTAACTTCTGTTTAACAAGCCTTTCCCCACTATTCAAAGACACATTTTTGGATAAGGGATTGCTTGAAAATAACCCCAATTTATTTTCTTTATGTTGCCTGTGTTTTCTAATAGTATCCTAGGAGAGCACCTATTTCATGATGACTGTTCTGGTATGCAGTAATAGACATAGTTTTCTTTAACTCTATTTTTTGAACTCCTGGGTTTTTCCACACTGAGGTTTATCTACTACACTTCATTACTGAAGTGCCTTCCCGTTGCCTTGAGTTATGTTTATGTGTTTATAAGGACTGCAATGAATTCTACCTTTGTTTTTACAAAACTCAAACATCATGCCCCATTTGTGAAAATATGTAATTTAACTTGCCTTCTGATTGTTTGTTTCTTCAAAGTAAGCAATGCTATTCTTCCAATGCCTCAAAAGAGATCCCTTTTTGCCAAAAATCTGTGCAGGTAGAGCTTCAAATGGCACAAAGGCTTTTCTAGGTAAAAAAATATACGTGCCCGAGTGCTAAATTGTGTGAACAAATTTGGAATTGCAAAAATATTTACACCTCATAAAACCTTGCAACAGAAATTCCTAACTACCCTCAGAAGAGTGCATTGCAGAATGCTTAATGACATCAACCTTGTATCTTCCTCCTTCTGAGTTTTGTGGCATTTAGGTCAGTCAAAAAAGCATTATTTTCTAAATTAATATCTTCACCTTTTTTCCCCATATGTGTCATAAAACTCATACAGTACATCTATAGCTCCCATTTCATATAATGATTGCATTAAAGATTCATATGGATCTGTACAAATCAGTTAGTATAACTGGAGCCATTATGGAAAATACCTTTTAAAAAGACAAAGAGTGAAAAAATAATCAAGTGTCCTCAGAAGTTCCAGAAATAATATCGATTAAGAAATATTTTAAAGTGAAAAAAAAATATCTTTTTTAAATACTTGTATAACATTTACTTTTCTAGTATGACACACTTCCATCAGGCAGTGAAGATGACATTACACCACCTTATTAACATGCACACCACTGCCTAAATGTAAATAAAAGGTTGAGTTATTACAGTTATATCACAGAATAAGATGACAATGAAGAAAATAATAATAATATTTATTAGTTATAAAAATTAATTATAATAAAGTAATAATCATAATCACCAGTAACACCAAAGTAGTAGGAGGTCACATTGCTGAATAGTCTGTGATGAAAAAACAGTAAGATGGGCAAAATTACTTCCTCTCTGGATGTTTAAAAAAAACCTTTGTACTAAAACTGAGCTGGGGATGCAGATATTGTCAAGTCTGAACCATTACTGTTGTAAGATAAAGGAGGTGCACCATTGATACCTTACACAATTATAGAAGAAAATTTGGGTAAATAACCCTTGTGAGATTTTTACTGAAATCCACATAAATTCAACTATTCAACTCAAATTCCAGAAAAGTGAATGTTTCTATCTAGTATAGTGAAAATCTCAATTCCTCACTAGGGTTTCATAGTTGTTTGGCTAATTACAGAAAGAAAAAAAATTACTGTAATTCTCTGTGTAGAAAAAGACTTTATAGTTAGAAAAAAATATTTATTTTTTTTTAAGATCAAGACTAGAACATAAGACTGCCTTTTGATATATGCCTTCAGTAATGTTTTCTGAAACAACTGAGGGGCCTCAAAAATGGATTTTGTTTAGGTCATGAATCTTAGTTTTTTAGATGAAGATGATCTTTGACGAATTAGAAATTACTTTGTGTAAGGCCAGGAAACCCTGGAAATTATTAAACCTGCCTAGGAAGCTGCTGAAGAGTGGACAACAGTGAGGATCTTTAACAAAGGAGAAAATGTTACCTTTTGTACTCTCCATGAAACTGTTCAGCAGGCTTAAAGGTGATCAGATCTTTTTCTGATATACATGAACCCAAACTGTTGTTACAAAGAGAACCTAAGTATTTACCTCCCCCAAACCACTTTCTTGTCTGTCCATTTTGGTTATTCTGGTTATACCATATACAGCACAAAGGCAAGAAGAGCCAGAAAATGAAAACTGGAGAATGTAGTGTATATTCTGCCACCTGTTTGAGTTCCATATTGGCTATTTGTGCCTGTCTTACTGCATAGGAAAACTATACTGCAACCAATCCTTTAATATCTGTGTTCTTTAGGTTTTGAAGGTACCTTGCATTTCAGTGGATCAGATTTCACTTGTGATGTACACAGCAACCTTAATTCAAACACAATGCAGGGATTTGGGGTGTTAACAGCAACAACAAACTACCAAAACTGCTATCTTACCATTCTGTTAAACACACATAAGATGGAAACATACTGTGCAGTAATTAACAACTGATTTTTCTTAACAGAATATTTGATATTATAATCCAAAGTAAACGTTGCTTCAAAAGCTGGTTTTATGAGAGGGGAGGTTAAAAGACCCACATTTACCAACCTACACCTTTCAGTGACAGCAGTAAGTTATTTGCAGTAGTAAGATGGCAGCTTATAAATGTACAAAGTTTTTTAGTACTGTAAAAGAGTTAAGGCTAAAACCATGTGAAACAAAATGGCATGTCCAAATGAAAATAAAAATTCATAATATCTCATAATTATTTTGTCAATAACAATTTAAAAAAATCAGAGAAAAAGCAAAGGGTTCCAAAAAGCAAAGAACAGCCCTTATGCCAGGGAAACAAAGCCTGGAACCTTTGGCTTTCAGGGGCAGTTGCTGGGCCAGCCTGGGCACTCCATGGGCAGCAAGAGCTTTCTGTCCTGGCACCTTTGGTCTGGGAGGAATCTTCGTCCGTCTGGAATTTTGGGAATGGGACTGGCAGTGTCAGCACAGGGTTGAAAAAAGCAAACAACAACCCTTATCCCAGGGAAACAAAGCCTGGAATCTTTTGGTTTGAGGGGCAGTTGGTGGGCCAGCCTGGACACTCCACAGGCAGCCAGAGCTTTATCTCCTGGCACCTTTGGTCTGGAAGGAATATTTGTCTGTATGGAATTTTGGGAGTCAGACTGGTAGTGTCAGGGAAGGGCTGAAAAAAAGCAAACAACAGCCCTTATCCCAGGGAAACAAAGCCTGGAATCTTTTGGTTGAGGGGTAGTTGTTGGGGAAGACTGGGTATTCCATGGGCAGCTATAGCTTTCTGTCCTGGTATCTTTGGTCTGGGAAGAATCTTCGTCCGTCTGGAATTTTGGGAGTGGGACTGGCAGTGTCAGTGCAGGGCTGAAAAAAGCAAACCACAGCCCTTATCCCAGGGAAAAAAACCTGGAACCTTTGGCTTTCAGGTGCAGTTGGTGGGCCAGCCTGAGCACTGCATGGGCAGCAAGACCTTTCTGTAGTTTCTTTGTCATTTGACCCAAACTACTTTTTTGATATTTTGTACTGAATCACAATACTTTTACTTTAAAAATTCATGTAGTGATAATGTTATAAAGACAATAAAACAGAAGATTTAAAATACATTGGAGAGATTCGGAATTAATTTTCCCTAAGTCTGCTTTTTTATCATTATGCTTTTCACAAAAAAAATATAAAATATTTAGCTACACAAATTGGTAGATTCTAAGATGTAACCATCATTATCATCCAAATTTGCACTACATACAGTCAAAAGAAAAATTTTGGATCTTTTCTTTAGCACACAAATCCCAGGATCTGGTTAATTCTGGAATTTGTATTCTTAAACCTAGTTAGCTCAGGTAGGATGTTTTAAGAGAAAATCCTGGATAAGTCCACAATTCCTTATCTTGAACTTATAGTCCTTCTTCTATAACAAGATACACAAAACAGTCCTTCAAGCAACCAAGTCTCACACTATTAGTGCTAATACAGAGAATATAATCTGAAACTGTAAACAACATCAATACAGGAATTTGTGTCTAATTGAGCAATTAATTTTAGAATTATTTTTAATTCATAATTTCATACTGCACAATATTAAGGAGTCTCAAAACTTCTTTGGGGGAGTGAGAAAATTTGCATTTGAAACACAAGCAAAAACATCTTCTCTGCTACCAAAGGGGTGGAATAATACACTGCACATGTGCTTCTATTATCTGTACTATCAGTCTGTCATTAATACAGAAAATAACACTCAGAGCACACAGGGTGTTAAATTCAGAGTTTGAAAATTGCAGTGCTGGTTTTGTTTGAAGTAATCCCAAATAGGGTTTACATTCATCTTCTATAGCACATCAGTGCCAGACAAACCATTCAATGTTCTCAAATTAAAAAGAGATATATTTCCCCACCAGTTTTTCAAGTGTTTCTATTCCTCTTTTTTTTTTTTTTTTTGCTTTCCTTTTCTAGTTTTCTCTCTTTTTTGAATTTATTTTTGATACAGTGGATCACTACTCTTTCCAACATCATAGCTTTGCACGAGATACATCTGCCTAACTTCTTTTCCCCCATCTATTAATTCTCCAGGCAGCATGCTAGCATTTGTGCCACTCATTAAAGTCAGCTGAAGTGTATACATTCTTAGCCCATCGATTCAGTTTTCCTAGTAAAAGCATAAAAAAAGAAGTGACACTGGCAGTTTTTGAAGGAAGGATGATATGTCAGGAATCCCTGCTGTTACTGGTTATACCCACAGAGTGATAACTACCAGGCAATCACCCCTTTATTATCACTTTCTATTGAACTTCATCATTTTTATGAGTGAGGTAAATGGTGTTGATTTTTGGAGGGTGAGAATTCAGCTGCAACAAGGTAACAGCCACCTAGGGGTGGACAGAGCAGGAATGAACATTGATGATGAACTGGAAGAAGAAACGAGGGAAAGGAAAGAAAGTGCCAACGAGATAGGTGTGGATCTAATCACTGAGAAGCAGAAATAGGGTTAAAATATAACTTTTGGTGGAGATTTTTCAGAAGTTCAGGAGGAATTCAGGTGTGCAGTAGTCACTGAGCTTCAACAAAAATCACAGACAACAGCAAGATATTTGTTTTGGGGCATAAAAAGAGGATTGAAGACGGAAGGCACTGAAAAACAAGGTCACCAATAAAACAAGAAAGTGACATCCTTCTCACTGATTCACTCTTCAAGTCCTTGATATAATACAGTTTGTATCTTTTAAGGTGATGTTTTATTTCCTAAGTCCATATAATTAGGTTTCAACACGTGCATAGAAGTAACTTGCCCTTCAGCTTTCCTCAGTCCAACCTCCAGGTCCTACCTGTGTGCATCTGAGCAGGCTTTTCATGAACAGGCAGCAGAGAAACGGGATCACAGGAGAAATCAGCCACGCTCCTTTTGTTCCAAAAACGAGGTAGGTGGTTTTCATCCCCTGTTTTCACATATAACCATTCAAATTCACTGAAGAAGTCACAGGGGCCTGACTACCGTTGTCCCACTCTTGGGAGCCTGTTATAATACAAACTACAGCACAGTTGGGCAGAAATATCATCAGTCTCTATGAAAACAGGTCATTATACATTTAAAACTAATGAGGAGAAAGAGATGAGCCCCCAGAAGGAACTGTTCTTTTGTGCATAGCAGTTGTGTATTTAGCAATGATGGAAAAACTTCATTTCTGGTCCTGAGTTGCAGGACTGACATCCATCTAATAATTAATGATCTAAAAATACAACTGTGAATATAACGTGAAATTCCATTAGATTTTTATATTTGTTGTATCTTTTAACTGATCTCAAAGATTTATTTCTTTTTTCTCACTCTTTCGATTGACTAGCATATAAAATGGATTCATGATTCCAATAGTCTTCTTTTTATTCCAATTATTTTAAAGGCATTAGGAGCAATCAGTCTTTACATACTCACAGATGTATCAAGTAAGCAATAAGAATGATTAACAGTAATATCATAAAAATTCTTCAGAAGGCTATTCTGAAACATATATCATCTGGCATTCAATACTGATCAATTAATAATTTTTAAGTAGTCTGATATTTATTTAATATAACCTTTACACCAAATCTGATTTTCAATGGCATTTAATTAACCTGTGCAATGATGGCAGTTGTGTACATAGATTAAAAATTTGTAAAAGTAATGGTCAGTTAGGCAGTACTAGTATAATTTGTACATACAATTACATTAATTATGCTTTCAAATTAGGCACGTCATTGCTCTGGATGATGTAGAATTCTGGCCTTGTAAAAGTGTATTCCCTTCAACTTTTCACAAACATTTCAAAACAATATTTTTACATAGTGCAACTCATTCTGGTCCAAAAAGAGCCTATTAAAATACATAAATAAACACACAAAAAAGAAGAGTTAACTGAAACTGTGAGATTGTCTTTTTTACCTGCAGTGTCCACTATAGTCACTCCTTCAGCAGCATCGCAGGTTTTAGCTCCTCCTTCACACTTGTCCCCTGAACAATTGTTCTTTCACAGCCTGAGACACTTTCATGAGAAAGACTACTTTTACCACCTTAGTTCTTATTCCTTAAACCCTTTTAATATACCAATCCTCTTCTGCCTGTTGGGAACAAGAAAGCATTTTTACATTTTTATTAATGTTGTTCATACGTTCCAGCATTTCTTTTAACACATATTTTTACTCACATTACCTGTAAGAGTAACCTGTTTCTCAAAAAGAGGCCACCAGAAAAACTGTGAGTGTAGGGGTTGGACTTGATGATCTTTTCCAGCCTAAATGATCCCATGATCCCATAACATGATGGAAGCTTGCCTTGCTAAACACAAACTGTCTCTACAGTGTAATTGCAGCAGCAATTCTGCAGTGATACAGTTCATGCAACACACAGAGTTGTGACCAGCTCAAAATTAAGTGTTTTGGTAATGACAGCCATAGAGCATTGTCTCTGAAAAACAAAAGATTTGATATGAAGAAAAAAGGGTGTTGAATCCTACAGAAGAAAAAAGAAAGAGCATGTGGCTCTGTTTTTGAGAGAATAAGAATCAAAAGGGTTTTAAGAAAGTAAAAATGTTTTAATTATTTTAGTTAATTAATTAATGAGTATTAAAAATGTGAACTCGAGTTTTCTTTCAATTTTAGTTTTTGCAAAGTGGTTAAGCAAGTTGAGATATAACGAAAAGTTGGTGTATCAGAAATATATAAAAGAACTTGAAAATACAGTCCTGGGTATATAAATCTTCAACATTGTGGATTAGTTTTGATTTACAGGAGATGCAAAGGGAATGCTGCTGTTAGAGCTGGACACCTTTCTGCATTCACAAAAACTACTTTGAATTTCTCTTGTTACTGCAGAAAGATGGAGTTTTTCTCTTCGTGGGTTCACTGACTAATTGAATGCATCTTCTGTCACGCTGTTGCTGTGGATTTCATCTCTTAAGGGAAAAAAGTAGAGAAAAAAAGTATTAAACTGAACAGCAATCTATAAAACTATTGGCATTTCGAGCGTGTTCAGTGTGTATCTGATTAAAGGCAAATGGTGCACACAAGCTGGTGTTTTCCCTCTGTTTTTGAGGACATAATGTCTGGGTTCATTATAATAATGCTAATCTGAGCCTCTGTGGCAGCATGCTACTTTTATTTGATGATACTGTGACCCTAAGAGCATTCCTCATGTTGGGAAAGCTTTAAAGCAAAGAGCACTTCCCATATCTGTCCAACAGTCCACTATCAAATGACTATGATTCATTTGCAAGAAGGGAAGAAAGTTCCTTGAGATCAGTCTTGAAAGCAATCTGTCATCAGAGCAGCACATTAGCTTTCTTCAAATTCATTTGTGAGATTCCTTGCAGGAAATAGTGGCTAATAAAGTAAGGAAATGACAGAAGAATATTGAGGACCTATTAAAGCATTAAAACCAATCCTTTCCCAAACACAATAAAGGACAGCCATCTATAATGTCACATTAATTTTCTAAGTAATACTAGAAAGAGTTTGTGTTCATAACACTGGGGCTTTAAAACACAAGCCAAAGTAGCACTTTAGATTGTCATTCCCCTTGCACAGCTGGTGTGGTTGCTACAGCCTGGTGACTTTTCCACTAACGTAACATCCAGGTCAGAATCCCACACTCCCAAAAACAGAGCCTGGGTTGTGCTGCTCTCTCTGAACTCAAACCACCGGGTTGCACTTTTTTTAAATCTTGCAGGGAGCTTTGAGATCTGAACGAGCAGCTAAATTTCAGGTTGATAAAATGTTCTGTGGACTTAAAATATTGATTGCTGCAAACAAACCTTAGTCTTCAGGGTTTCTACTTTTTACCCAAACTTCCTATGTGAACTAAATTAGAAAAGTAGGTATAATGTATACTTGTGGACAAGGAGGTGGAATAGGAAAGTTGCATTTAAAAAGAAAAACAGAAAAAAACAAAGGAAGGGGAACTAGATAGAAAAATATTCCAAAGGAAGAATAAAGATATTGTTGCCTTGAGATTTTTAGCAGTTCATAATCTCAAATGATTCTTCATTCTTGCCCTTTGGGAATCCATGCTATCAACAATTTCATCAACATTTTCTGGCCAGGAGTATTTCTGTATTAAAAAGCAAGAATTTGCTTTATGTTTTGACTTGGCATGTGAATTGCTTAAAAGATAAAACAGAAAAGGTATAACTATATCTTTTGCAAAGTGGTGAAATATATGTTCTGCAGTCAGTTCTTAATCTAAGGATTAATTTAAATATATATATTTATAGGTATATGTGTGTGTGTATACATTTTTTTCCCCTCTAGTAGTAGTACATTAACACATGAACATTCTTTCCTAGGAACAAGAGCCCAAGCCTCTTTTTCAGCAAGTAGCTAAATTAGCCTCTTCACCTTCCACAGACCTGTGTGCTGCATCTTTTTAAGCAGGTAAAATCCTTTATGTTAACAATGTTCCTTGGGGAGCATCTTTTCCCTCGTACTCTTTCACATCATATCATCTTCTGGGCTCAAAGGCCACGCAGTAATTAAATCAGATTGTGACCTTAGCAGGGACAGGCTTTAGGATGTTTTTATATTTAAATTCTGGATGTGTAAAAGAGGGATTTTTTACGGTGTAATCTGCTCCTAAAACTAACATTTATCCATAAGTGATACAAGCACTGAGTTTCTGAAAAACTATTTCTATGCTAGGTTTCAATAACTGTCAATATATGATTTAAAATTCTTTTAGAGAGAGATACAGTATCTAACTCTCCTAACACATAAGAAAATATCGCCATCTCTTGCTCCATGCAGTTAAGTGCAGCTGCTTCCTACAGTCCCTGTTCAGCTGATTTCCATCACCCTCTGCACACCTCTGCTGTTACAAGAACTCCAGTGTTTTTCAGAAAAAGCTGGACTCACACTAGAGAAGCTTAATTTCAATGAACTTGCGTGGTAAAACATTGAAACAAGAGTAATGCTTTTATTTTGCAATAATAGGGTTTGTTAATGATTTGTGGAATTATATCATTGAACAAAGGAGGATTTCTGAAATTGTTAGAGATTAAGTTGGGGTGGCTGCTGAGAAACAAAAAATCCTTGACTTACCTTGATGCAATGGCCTGAGGTGACTGCTGTGGAAATAGTTTAGAATTTGCAATACAGAAGAACACGGAAAGGATTACAGTCTTATTCCAACATGTGTTCCTTTTAAATTTCTAATACATACTATCTAAGAAAGGCTATTATATTTTTATGCTTTTTTTTTTCCCCACACAGATACTTAGGGTCACAATTTAATCTTCTAGTGGCCAAAAAAACATTAACAAAATGAAAAATTCCGTGCAAAACAAAAATCCTTTAACCCCAAATAAGGTGGATGGTGCCTACACCTGATTTATTCCCAGTTTATTCCTATTAGCTTGCATACTTCTAATTTCTCAGGTCAGGTTGTGTTCTTGTTTTACCAAAAAAAGTCACACACAAGTAGTGTGCGGTACAGAAGGCTAAAGAAATTTGGTTGCATTTAGGAAGACTATGGGTCTTTCAAACTTAACCATCTGCATTTGAAACCTTGTTTTTGAATTCTTACAGGCATGCATTTGATGGGAATGAGACAGAGCGAACTAGTATTCACAAGAAGCAGAAAGCAAAAATCTGTGATCAGTGGAAATTTAACCTGTTCTCTCGAACGCACTTCTTACTTTTCTTTTGGTTCTGACTTTCTGAATAAACATCTCCTGCTTTAACTTCCCCATCCTTATCCTTACCCTTCCTGTTCTTTCTCAATCTTCTAATAATTCCCAATTCCAAATCACACCTTTCTCAATCTTCTAATAATTCCCAATTCCAAATCACACCTTATTTCATTCTCTCTAGTTTTGATCTATAACTACTTGAAAAACCTTCTGGAAATTACAAATAGTCCATCAGTGATGCCAGCTTGGTCTCGTCACTTTTTGTCCATAATGTGCCATTTCCAAAAGGCATGAGCAAAATTCCTTGTTTACAAATATGGGCAGCACAGTCTCATCACTGTGTCCACAAGGCTTTGACTCCCAGAGGCTGAATTTCTAGATGCTCATTTACAAACAGCAAAAATGGGCTTCCTGTTGTGCTTTGTCCACTGGGCTCTGAATCACTGCAGTAACAATAGGGAGACTGGCCTCAGTAGGATAAAGCCAGTTTTTGTGTATAGTATAGCCACTGTAGAACACCATGATAACATGTAACCAATATTTATCTAACCTTAAAGTATTTTATATATCTTTTCTTCTTATGCTAAAATTCGTGGGTCACAGCTGCTAGTATGGAGTTCCAGATTATTTACAAATAGTATCTGGCAAAAATGAACTTGTATTATAGTGTTAAAATCAATATGAGTCTTACTTGTTAAAGGCACTCAGACACTTTTGAGCATTTATCTCAACTTTATATTCTCCAGAATGCTTTCTGAACTTTTAGGTGTGGTTATGACTGTACCTTTTTCACTCTGCCTCAAACCTCAGACCTGAAGACTGACTCTGACACAGATACTCCAGGATTATTCTAGGTGTACATTGTGAAATCTGTATCTGTTTCATCCACCCCTCTGAAGTATTTTCATCCTGAGTTTTTGCTGTGCCTCTACTCTGTTGACATCTCTACCTTCTCTCTTATTTACGTTATGGGAGTTACACATATATTTCAAAGAAGGTGACTTTTATGCTATGCATAGCTTTCCACCATGGTCTGAACACTGTTTTTCAAATTGCAGAGGAACATTTCTGAAACAAATGCTCATTTTACCAGCAGTGTAAAGAAGAAACAGACATGTAACATAAGATAGCACATCAGAGTCCTGATGGATATCAGTGACAAGTGCTGCCCCTCAGGGTTCTGCTTTGGGACAATTATTTAATATCTGCATTAATGACACAGACAGTGCACGCTCAGAAAATTAGGAGGTGACACCAAGCTAAGTGGTGCTGTTGACACTCCTGAAGGACAGGATTCCATCCAGAGGGACCTGGACAAGCTTGAGAATTGGTCCATGGGAATCTCATGAGGTTTAATAAGACCAAGTGCAAGGTGCTGCATCTGGGTCAGGGCAACCCCCAGCATTCATCCAGGTTGGGGGATGAACAGATGAAGAGCAGCTCTAGGGAGAGGGACTTGGGTGTGCTGGTGGATGAGAGGCTGGACATGAGCCAGCCATGTGTGCTCATAGCCCAGAAAGCCAACCCTGTCCTGGGCTGCATCCAAAGCAGGGAGGGCAGCAGGTGAGGGAGGGGATTCTGGCCCTCTGCTCTGCTCTGGTGAGACCCCACCAGCAGTGCTGCATCCAGCTCTGGGGTCCCCAGCACAGGAAGGACACTGATCCATTGGAGAGAGTCCAGAGGAGGCCACTAAGATGATTAGAGGGATGGAGGATCTATGAGGAAACTCTGAGAGAATAGGGATTATTCAGCCTGAAGAAGAGAAGGCTGTGGAGTG